GCCCGCTGGGGTCCAGTCAGCCCGGCTTGTGGCTCCCATCTCCGGCCCGGCGATTTGTTGGCCGGGCCTTTCTGCTCTTCCGGGAGGACTGGCCTTGAAGTTCAGTCTTCGCCCCACGTTAGGGTCCCTTCTCCCGGTGAGAAACCTCGGAGCACGGGTTTGTGATGCTTCTGGCCTATTCCAGCTGGCTCCTTGACATCGGCAGAGCCTCTGTGGGAGATACTGGCATTGGCAGAAGCAGTGTGTGCCTTTTACAGCTGTTTCTCACAGCTTCTTTTATTTCCCTCCGCAAGTACCCCGTTTATTTTTCTGTGTGGGCCCTCAGTCTTCAGCACCCGAAGGCAGCCACCTCTCCCCAAGCTGGGAGGCTTCAGGCTGGGATTGTGTCAGAGAAGCTGTCAACACTTGGAATCCGAGCAGGATATGCATCTTGTACCTGTTAGGTCGTTGTTCACTTGAACATATGGGGAAAAGAATAGAGCCATCGAAAGTAACAAGTTTGTTAAGAGAAGAAAGGAATGTGAGAACGCTAAGGCCTGAAATAAACGTAGTATTGTAGATACAACAAGCTAAAAAGGTAGAAATTAGTTGATGCCTAAAAGTGGTAGGAATGATTAAAGTCCTTATTCTTTGTACTCAGAAAGAACAAATGATTCACCTTTTTTAATGAATGACTTAACTATTGTATTTGTTTCTTGCTTTTCTTGTTCTTTTTGTCCAGATTTACTCCTGGTTAGAAGGTCCTTCATGACACGTGCTGTTTTTGTTTATTTGTTTATTTTTTTTTTTTTTTGCTTCTGAGCAGATTAGCTGGAAACAAAGCGGGACAAGTCTGGGCACCGGAAGGATCTACTGCTTTCAAGTGTTTGCTCTCAGCAAGGTTATGTGCTGCTCTTCTGAGCAACATCTCTGACTGTGATGAAACATTCAACTACTGGGAACCAGTAGGTGATTTTAGTTTTTGGTTTTTGTCTCTTGGGACTTATTACCAATCAAGACACAAGTAATATATAAGTGAGGCTGCTAGTAAAGTAACTTTTCACTTTTAATTCTTTTTTTTTTTTTTTTTTTGGTACCTGGGATTGAAACTCTGCTCCTTGCACTTGCAAGGCAGGCCACCGAACCGCTGAGCTAAATCCCCAGCCCTTCACTTTTAATTCTTAAAAGCTGTTGATTTACTTACTCTTGAAGGCTGTAGGAAATTTTGCTAGTTAAGTCAAAGTGTGATTTGTAATTATCTGTTAAAACTATTTGGAGCTTAGACCAGGGATTTGGCTCAGTGGTTCTGCAGCATGCCTTGTGAGCACAGGGGCCTGAGTTTGATCCCCGTGAACCAAAAGAAAAAAATAAAACAAAAAAGCTTTTTGGAGACAATTTTAAAAGTTAATTACCATAAAACGCAGAGAAATAACACCTCCTTGTTGTACTTCTCATGTTTAAATTCTACTTCCCAGAAGCAACCACTTTCTTTCAGTATTTAGCCCAATGTTTATCAAAATAGTGCAACTAAATATGCTTATAATGTTATTTTTATTTAGAATGGAGAAATGATGTTTAGTGTGGGTATATAAGATTTAGAGTTTTAAAATTTTGGGCAAAGACTCTTTAAAAGAATAAGGAGAGGGCTGAGGATTTAGCTCAGTGGTTCTGCTGCCTGTCTCAAGCATAAGGTCCTGAGTTCAATCTCCAGTACAAAAAAAAATAAAAAAATAAAAAATAAGGAGAAGGTAAAATTTGAGGTTTTAGTATTGATCAATCTTGTAGAATTTATAATATCTTAATTTTTTAACATAAGGTCATTTTTTCTTATCCATTACTTGTAAATATTGATAAATTTAGCATTTTTGCATATCATTGTCTCTTTAATATTTCTACCCAGAATCTTTACCTGTGTCCTAATAAGAGAGTTTTTGGGCAATTAATTTACTTACTTACTTTGACTTTTGAGACAGGGTCTCATCATGTAGTTCAGGCTGGCCTTGAACTCATTGTGTAACTCAGGTGGTCTTGAACTCTCAGTGATCTTCCCGACTCAGCCTCCCAAGTACTGGGATTATAGACATGTGCCACCACTCTTAGTCTGTTTGTTTTTTCTTTTAGACACACTACCTCATCTATGGGAAAGGGTTTCAGACTTGGGAATATTCCCCAGTGTATGCCATTCGTTCCTATGCTTATCTGTTGCTTCATGCGTGGCCAGCCGCATTTCATGCAAGAATTCTACAAACGAATAAGGTAAGGTTAAGCAAACCTTAGAACAGTCACAATTGATCAAGAGAAAAGTCTCTGGAAAAAAAATTTTTTCTTTTTTTGTTTTGGTTTTTTTTTGAGACAGGGTCTCACTATATAGTTGAGACTGACCTGGAATTCACTGTGTAGCCCAGGATGGTCTTGAACTCAACAGTGATCCTCTGGCCTGAGCCTCCCAAGTGCTGGGATTAGAGGCGTGCACTGCAACACCCGGCTCTGGAAAATTTTTGAAAGAGAACAAAAAGATTGGAAGCTGAGAGGGGAGGTTTTTAGTTTTTTAGTTTTTTTTTTTTTTTTTCTTTGAGACAGGGTCTATGTTACCCAGGCTAGACTCCGGTGATCCTCCCATTTCAGCTTCCTTGGATAGCTGGGATTATGGGTATAGGCCATTATACGAAGTGAAGAGGGTACTTGTTTTTTTTTTTTTTAAAGAATAATTTTTTGGGCTGGGCATTTAGCTCAGTGGTTCTGCTGCCTGTCTCAGGAGTGCAATGTCCTGAGTTCAGTTGCTGGTACCAAAAAAAAAAAATCATTTTTTAATTTATTCAACAAACATTAACCGAGTAAAATTAGTGGGGAAGATGGATATTGAACAGGTAATTCTAAATGCAATGAATCTTGGCAGGTGGAGGGGGAGGAGTACAATGTACAGTGGTATAGAATATTAGGAGGATCTAATTTAAGCTGTGTGCTGAAGAATAATTAAGAGTTCATTGAGCCTGGAACAGCTATTTATTTGGGAAACTGGCAAGTTGCAGTCCAGCCTGGACAACTTAACAAGACCCTGTCTCAAAATAAAGTTTAAAGAGGTCTGAAAGGACTACTATTTAGACTATATAAAGAATTTAGAAAGGGCCAGGGATTTAGTGCAATGGTGCTGCCACCTATCTGACAAGCACAAGGTCCTGAGTTCTATCCCTGGTACCCCCCAAAAAAAACCTTAAAAAAATCAGACCCCCCAAATTTGAAGACCCAGTTCAAAAATGGGCATCAGAAATGAACACACATTTCTCAGACAAAGAAGTAGAAGGAGCAAATAAACATCACTGGTTATCTGAGAAACAGATGAAAACAACACTGAGATTCTATCTCCAAAAAGAATGGCTGCTATCAAGAAATCAACCAATAACAAATGCTGGCAGGGCTGCAGGGAGGAAGGAAACCTTCTCCACCTTTGGTGGGAGTGTAGACTGGTGCAACCAGTGTGGAAATCAGTGTGGAGATTCCTCAAAAAACTAGGATTAGAGGTCCCAGTTGAACCTGCTTTCTCTGCCTGCCTTGCAAACGCAAGGTCCTGAGTTTGACCCTCAGTACCAAAAATAAATAAAGCATCACACAACAGTGACATATGCACATCCATGTTTTTAGCAGCACAATTTGTAATAGCTAAATCTTGGAAACAGCTCAAAGCCCATCAACTGATGAGTGGATAAAGAATATTTATATATAGTCATATAAAATGGAGTACTAATCAGCTATAAAGAAAGATAAACTTGAGACATTTATAAATAAATGGATGCACCTGGAGGCTGTACTTATAAGTGAAATAAATAGGATACACGTGTAAATACCAAATCATTTCTCTGGTGTGAGAAACTGAAGGTGTAAATGAGGACCAAAATGTATAATAAATTTTTTCTTTTTTTTTTGTGATACTGAGGATTGAACTCAGGACCTTGAGCATGCAAGGCAGGCCTGGTGCCACTGAGCTAAATCCCTGGCATATTTTTTTGTTTTGTTTTTTGGTACTAGGGATCAAACTCAGGACCTTGCACTTGTAAGGCAGGTGGTGGCACCACTGAGCTAAATCCCCAGCCCTGTAAATGGTGAAATAGGAAGAAAATGTTCAAAGGAGAAGGGGTGAACTAGGGAGGGGGAAAAGGGAAAAGGAAAGAAGGGAAAGATAAAAATTGGAAGTAAGGAGGAAAAAATGGAAACAAAGCTTATGTATATGGGGGGTGGAGAGGTTGAAGTAAGGGCAAGGGAATTGGAAAAAATAAGAAGATATATCACGTACAGGTACAAATTCTCATGATGAATGTGATCATAAGATATATCTAACTGTACCAATAAACTCAATTAAAGAAAAATTTTAAAAGGTCTGGGAAGGTAGCTCAGAGATAGAGTGCTCTCAGCATGTAGCAGGCCCTTTGTCAAATCCCAGTACCTCAAAACAGTTCAAAAACCAAAAAAACAGAAAGTTAACTGGAACTTGATCTGATTATTAGTTTTCAGGAATTTGACTATGATGTGTCTTGGTGTAGATTTTTTTTCAGTTTATCTTGTTTGAAATTTGCTCAGCTTCTTGAATCTTTAGGGTTATGTCTTTTGCAAAATTGGGGGATTTTTGTTTTAGCTGTTACTTTTTCATTTTTTTTTTCTTTTGAGATACCAGGGATTAACCAGGACCTCACACTTGTGAGGCAGGTGTGGTGCCACTGAATTAAATCCCCAGCTCTAGCTGTTACTGTGTTGAGCACTTTTTTTTTGAAGTAGTGCCATTTCTCCTTTTCTTTTTTTTTTTGATACCAGGGATTGAACTCAGGACCTTACACTTGCGAAGCAGGTGGCGGAATCACTGAGCTAAATTCCCAGCCCCATTTCTCCTTTTCTTTTGGCACTCTATTGATAAATGTTTATTTTTTAAAATTAGTCCTGAGACTATATTTTCTTTTTTAAAAAATCCTTTTTCTTTGTTATTCACATTGAGTAATTTCTATTCTCTGTCCTCCAATGCACTGATTCTCCATTGTTGTGTTGTGGTAAAAAGACAGGCCTTTGGTTGGAGTGTTTTTGTCTGTGCTCTTTTTTTGTTTTGGTTTTTTGAGACAGGGTCTTACTATGTAGTTGAGTCTGACCTGGAACTCACTATGTAGCCCAGGCTGGTCTCGAACTCACAGCATCCTCCTGCCTCAGCCTCCCGAGTGCTGGCATTACAGGTGTGCGGCACCACGCCTGGCTATCTGTGCTCTTTGACGTTTCTAGTTGCCAGCTTTTTAAGTTTCATTTCTATAGTATACAAGGCAAAAAGAAGACCCATGGAGTTTACATTATTATTCTTCCTTTTTTTTTTTTTGTACCAGGGATTGAACTTGGGACCTTTTGCTTGCGAGGCAGGCAGCAGAACCACTGTGCTAAATCCCTGGCAAGTCTTCTTCTTTTTTGGTTTCGCTGTGTAGTTCAAGCTGACCTAGAATTTGCTATCCTCCTGCCTAAGCCTCCTGAATGCTGGGATTAAGTGTGCCACTATTTCCAGAACTTTTCATGTTCAGAATTTTTTATGTACTTAGCAGGAAGAATAGGGAAAAGGCCTATCTTTATTGAAGCAAAAACCCCTAATTAGAGAACTGAAGGTGTTGTCTAGTAAGAGAAGAATGGGAGTGAGGGAGGAAGATGGGAATAGTCATTGTCTTAGTTACTTTTCTGGTTGCTGATACAAAATACCTGACATCCACAGTTAAAGGAGGAAAAGTTTATTTGGCTCATAGTTTATAGATATTTCAGTTCATAGTTGGCTGTCTCCAAGGCAGAGTGACATGGCAGAGAGGCATGATAGAGGAGAAACAGTTCATGGTGGTGGGCAGAAGGCAGCAAGTAGTGAAGAAGCAGCAAGCAACAAGCAACCACACTAGCCCTCTTTCTGTCCCTTACATTTTATCCAGGCTACCTGCCCTTAGGGCCACCCTTAAAGCTACCCAGAACTATGTGAACCAATCACTGCATTAGTTTAGTAATCACACACTTGATTGCAATCACACTTGATTGCAGCATCACACACTGTAGATCTAGCCACCTCTGAAAAGCCCCATCTATGACAGAATGAGGCTTTTGGGGCACATCTAGACACAAGCCATAACATCTAGGCTGAAGGTCCTGAGGTTGAGAAAAGTATTCCAGGATGGCCTTTTGTTTTTCTTTTCTACTCCTCTCCTTTGTTTTTTTTTTTTTTTTTTT